TTTTTTTTCCTACGACCGGCCTAGATGGAAGGGAAAAGCGGAAGAACGGAAGAGGAAGAGACGCGCGCGGCGCGTATCTTCGCTTCCGCGAATAATTTTTCGCGCGACTTGCTAGATTTCTCGGTAATAAAGTCGCACTCAAAACGAGTCAAAATTCACTCACGAAGCGGCAGTGGAAAAAATTACTACGGATTCTTGTAACCGAGGGGGAAAGATATCGTCATTTCTCTTTGCCTTAATTTATCAATCTTCCATTTTCTATATGCTATATTTTAAATACTGTATACTCCCCGTGTCTATAAAATATTTACCGTGGGAAAAATTACCGCAGATTTTTGTAAACAAGAGGCAATCGTATCGACATTTTACCGCAACTTATTAACTTTCTGCATTATACATGCTAATTATATTTAAAAAATTGAAGTCTCTCTATCGTTAAGACATTTACTGTGTATTTCTTAACGAGATCAATTCTGTCGACAGTTTATTCCTCTGAGAAAATGTGATGTAAAATTGAAGAACGAAACGCAATGACCGCAAATGGTTGAAGCTACCGCGGCGACGCGTCAGATTCACCCGTGATACAAATTCGTATTTATGAAAATATTTACACTCGGCGATTCGGAGTGGAAAATTCGCTCCGTGCTCCGTGAAAAGTCACTCGGGTTCTCGAGCAACCGTCGGCTGTCAGCCTACTTCTCCCCGAGTGGAATTTCACTCGAGGAGATTCCGAGAGGGCATGCACGTGTGTGAGAAGCGATCCTTGTGCCTCGAAACAGATGCATTCCTTCGCGCGCGCGCCCATTCGTCAGCTTTGAGAAATCGACGCTGCTTTAATTATCCGCCGAATGAAAGCGATCTCGCGGTCGCCAGGGCGGCGGCGGCCCGCGACGCGGTGTCGCGAGCATATCGGTGCGAGCCTGTTCGGTGCACCTTGATGCGTTCTCTACCTCGTCGGCCGGCTCGGTTCCGAGTGTACGTGCCGTGTAACCGACCGTGCGTGTTCGGGGGGCCTATTTTTAGACCGGTCCGAGACTATTTTTAGAAGCGGCCTGCCCATCAGGCTTAACCCTGACTTACGTCCGCGTCCCTATGTCTCCGTGGACGTAAGGATCGCCCGAGGGTGTGCCATCAGGTGCGACGGACGCGTCCGGAAACGTGCGAAAAGTACGCGAATAACTGCCTCACGAAAGCGACGAAGGCGCAATTCGCAAGCCGAAATTACGTGAACACGCGTTAAGAGACTGGGTGGTGTGGAAAGTCGACGAAGATTGGGCGAAGATTGATTTTATTATTGCCTAATCACGCGGAAGCTTTTTTGTATTATTTTCTAATTGGCTAATTGCCTTCTAATTGCCTTCGGTCGCAATTTGGAAATCCTTTTTAATATTAATATATTTTAACTCTTTCCTACTTTCACTGTTATAATTAGCCGGTAAATAAATTATAATCATGATCGATGATGTAAGCAGAAAACTTGTTCGACGGCTGCCCGCGTGAAAATCCCTCCTCGGTTAACGCAATCGACTCGTAACTTTCCAAACAGATTTTCCCGTTAGAAAAATATATGCATCAACGGTCTCGTGATTGATTCAAATATCAATAACAGGAAAAATGTTAATTCTGGCTTAAATGAGTGTTTTATAATAATAGTTTGGGTTCACCAAAATATGTTGTCAACCTTGCACCATATTATTCGCGTGCAAGATTCGAAATAATTTTAGTGAGTATAATCTGGAGATTTGAAACAAGTTACTTTCTACAAACGGAAGTCGTGCGAGAAAGGATGATTCTCGCAAGGTTTCTCTCAGCGTTAATTCTCTGATCGTTCGTAAACCTCCGCCTCTAATACCGTTGCATAATATTTCCTCCAATCTTGCATCCATTCGCTTTCGTTAAACAGCTCACTCGATATCATTAATAGTGTGCGTAACGATACCGCAAGCCGACTATATAGTTGTCACACGTACAACGGAGAATTCAATGGCGCTTGAAAGCCGCACGGTGCACAACACATGGAATATCGCGATCGTAAATCCGCCGGTGAGCGGATCACTTCGATATTGCGTGGCTGTACTCCAGACCGTCGGAATTTATCGGAATCGAAGACGCGCCGAACAGTAAAACTAGGTATTACGCTCAGGACGATGACGCAAGCTCGTGAGCTTCTATTTGCGGCAACCACACGCGCAGATCCGACCGTTCGTAAGCTCGCGTTCCGATTTCGTGTGACGACGCGCCGGCGAGTCGAGGAGAAACGGAAATTACGGTGTCAAATAGCGGATCGTCGGACGAAATCAATGTGAACAATTCGATGTGACTCGACTCTTTAAGACGAAACGATTCGATCTTCCCGCTGTCTCTTATTCGAGAAAAAAAATACGTGGCTCGAATCGTCTTCGTTTTTGTGTTCTCGAAATTTGTTGATGTGAAATCTCATTCGAAACGTGTCGCTTCAATTCAGGCCGTCCAGTTTTATCCCGGAATTAATAAATTAAATTAAATTATACGAGTATTTGAGACTACGAGAATACGATTATTTATTTATTTTATATTACGCAACAAAACATTTTCAAGTAATTGCAATAACTTTGTAAAAAATCAAACGTGGATAATATCTGTAAGTAAATACATAGTGATTTCGATCATGATCTCTGGATGATCCAAGATTACAAACATTTTTTCGTTATTTTCGCTGCGATGTTTTCCCCGTCTACATAAAATATCACGAAAATAATCGTAGCATTCGCGAATAATTTATAGAACACGAAATACATCGTCGACCATATGTTCCTCTCTTTCTCTTTCTCTCACCGTACGCGGAGAGCGACCCACTTTTCGTAAAGAAGATGAACGAAATAAGATCTATTCCGTCCGGATGTTTTACGGGAGGACGAGTGTTCCTGTCGCGCGCGCGGAGTCGACTCGCAATATAAATAACAGCGATATATTACGGGACGTATTTNCCCCCCCCCCCCCCCCCCCCCGTCATGCGATCGCCTACGATTGGATCGAAGCCCATTAATTATTTCCGATGCTGCCAGAACCGTCAAAAGAATCGGGCCTGATTCTCGATAACGAGCCGTTTTGTACGCTTTCTCTCGTTGTTCGATCGTCGTATCCGCCGCGCAATGACAGAAGAGAATGCATCTGTCTTGTTCGATAATTAACCATTCGAATGGTCACTTTAATTTGTCGCTCACGACCGTTGGCATTGTGCGAAATCAATGTGAGCCTACAATGCGATGTGAAAGTGCGGAAAAATATAACGACGTGTTTCAACTTTTTGAGTAGAAACGATATTCGATATTCCAGGTGTTCTTCAATGAGAAAAAAACGTCCGAATCGTCCTCGTTTTCCCACTCTCTAAATATCTCGAAGTGAAATCTCACTCAAAACGAGTGAAAAATTAATTCAAAGCGACGGTGAAAATATCTCTATCCGCAATCGCAGGAGAGAGTTCCACTCAAGCTTGAATCTTAACCTTAAGTGGATTCTGACTCCATACAAGTGGATGTTTCAATTCATTAGAGTGAATTTGTTTCTCCGACAGTGGAGCGCATCGGATTCACTCTTTAACTTCGAATGGAAATATTCACTCGACGATTTAGTGTAGAAAGTATTCACTCTGTATGAGTGAAAAATCACTTGAATTCGAGCGACTCGGCTGTCTATTTATCGAATTGGAATTTTACTCCAAGAAATTTAGAGAGGGAGAGAGAGAGAGAGAGAGTAGGATATTTATAATTAATTTAGATAAAATAATACAACATTTTATATCAACGATTCCCTTTCATAGCAACGATGTTTGATCAGCTCGGATTAATTATTCGCTAATTTTCGTCCCGGTCGTGTTGCTCGGCGTACAGAGATCCTTTTGTTAATATCGCTCTCGTCGTCATCATTGCACTCGAGCTCGTAATTAGCTCGATAAGAACGCCGACGAAAGATCCGGCAAGAAGGAGCCTGATTTTTCATCAGTCGCCTGTTTCTGTTTCCCCTTAACGTTCTTCACCCCCTTTCGTCGGCCGTCCCGCCGCCGCCGACGACGACGACGACGACGACGCGTCTCTACGTGAATGGATGCACAGTGTCCGACATTTGAAGCGTAATGACGCGCCTGCACTTAAATATAGTGGCTGGAGTCAGGACTCTGGAGAGAGGAGAAGAGAGGGGAACTCTGGTCCGGCGGCGCGTCTTATAAAAATAGACCGAGACTCGACGGGCACTTCGAACGCCGTAGCTGCGCGCCGATCGATCCCTCAATTTCCTCGCCGCCGGCCGTAGATCAACACCACACTTCGTTAACGCTTAGCATTTAATTAATTGGACGTGGAGTGTTTTTCGCAGAACCGCGTCGCGAATGAATTAATTTGAGAGATGCGGCGAATGTTCGGTACGCATGAGCAAATAACGATATAAAGCCGCATATCTGAGGTTCGGCGATACCTGTGATACGGCGATCTTTGAATTCAATCTGACACGCTGATAAACAATCCACGTCGGATTGTTCATGAATCGTTCTTGAAAATTAAAACGAATCATATCGTCGAGTCGAAATTATAATTTTTCATGATACAATTACGATGAAATGAAAATTCATATAGCTTCAAAAGCTCGGAAAAAATCATTTTCCTTCGCTTTTTTCGCGAAAGAAACCGAAAAAAATCGGAAAAATGGGAAAATAGATTTTTTTAACTGTAAAAATTTATGGTGAAAATTATGGTATTGTCACATCGAAATGTTGTATGTTATGTGACAAAAGTATGCGAAAGAAAGAGAAAAATAATAAATATATGGAAATATATATAAATATGAAGATTATGACACATTTACTGAGTCATAATGTTCTATGTTACACGACAAAAATATGATGATACTGATGAATTTCGACTATACAATTATGTATACACGATTTATACACTCCAATTGCGTAATACCTGCTTATTCGACCCAGATTCTACCCGGCATAAGTCTGAGTCAGTCTGCTTTGGTTGCAGGTTAATAGCGGATCCCCAGCAGAAGCTGCTGGTCTCAAAGCTGGCGATGCCGTTATCAAAGTCAACACCACCGACATGTACAACTTGAGGCACAAGGACGCGCAGGATGTTATAGTCAGAGCCGGGAATAATTTCGAGATCACTGTGCAAAGGTGACGTATATAATAATAAAATAATTAGAGCAATTAATTATTCGCTAATAAAAAGCATTATTACGTCAAATTTCCTTTGAAAGATAGGATTAGTTGTTTCAATAGATACATTGTTCCGAGGTCAAGTAAAATTCCATAACGAAGGCAAGACAAACGAAACGAACGCGGTAACATCCATTTTTCGCGAATCGCCCGATCTGTTTGCTTTCCGGACGAGCGCCAGTTCACTTCGCTCCCGCGGTTAGCGGCGCGGTTTTTGCTATCCCCCGGCAATGTCAAACCGCGGCGGCAAGTAGTTCGTGGCTCGTCGAATTCCGGTGCTTTAACGGACAATAAATTATTACACACAGAGGCGGTAGTACCTGGAAGCCGCACGTGACGCCGGCGACCGCAAGCCTACCGTCTCCGATGCACACCGCCTCCACGGCTAACATCGCGCCCGTCACAAAGACCTCTTTGGCAGCGAAGAAGCCGGACGGACCCCTCATCGGCAGCGGACACAATTTCAGCCCTAAGCCATTCGTTAGTATCGACCGTTAATCTTCACGTCCGCTCTGAGGCGGAAATAAAATAAAAAGGAAAAAGAAAGGAAAAGAACAACAAAAAGAGAAGAGATGCCGGGCGGGCATTTATTTGTTTCTTTACCGCGGAACGTAATAATTTTCAGCTGAACGGCACCGGCGACGGTCCAATTAAGTCGATCGTGAACAAACAGTACAACAGCCCCGTAGGAATCTACAGCGAGGAGACGATCGCGGAGACGCTGTCCGCTCAGGCCGAGGTCCTTGCCGGAGGTGTCCTTGGGTAAAATCACTAAACCGGATATAGCGGCGAGGGAGGGGGA